GTCACCCTTTCTTTAAAGAACAACAAAAAAATATTCTCACAAGTACAGATCACGCCTTATGGAAGTTGTATAGGAATAAAGTGTTGTTGCCGACATGTAGTTTGAACACAAATAACCAGTGAGCAAACACGGACGATTCTATTATTAAATAACTAGATCACGTGATCGTAAAAGAAACATATAAATGGGAATTAGCGTGACGTCTAAGTAATCGCGATTCTGGGTATTACCAAAACTATTTTGTTTACTTTCTTCTATATAGTTTTTAATACATTTGTAAATACTTACTGTGGTTTTTAGATATTTAAATTGTTATTTTATTCCCCCTCCGCCCCCACAGACAATGAATTGGTATATATGGGGACTAGTTAAGACTTCATAGAGTTTCTGAGGCATTATGGTGGATGAGGTATGTTTGTATGTTTGTGTCAGTGTTTGTGGCTAGCTAAGTTTAATGATAAGACAGAAGACGACCATCCTTTTTCCCCATTCCCCCTTCTGGCCTTGTGCCACATTTGTACAATAAATATTATCGCAATTCTGTGTGTGGGGAGGTTATTACTAACAGTATTTTGTTTACTTTATTGTATATAGTTTTATATACATTTGTAATTACTTATTGGGGTTTTTAAATTTTTAAATTGTTATCCCCCCCCCACAACAGACAATGAATTGTACATATGATGACTAGTTAGGACTTCATATAGATTCTGAGGCATTACGGTGGATGAGGTAAGAATGGTATGTAAGAATGCGTTGTTTTGGTGAAAGGAATATTGTTTTTATGTCTGGGTCAGTGTTTGTGGCTAGCTAAGTTTAACGTTAAGACAGAAGACCGTCCTTTTCCCCATTCTAATTTTTGGTCATTATGTACAATAAATATTATCACAATTCTCTATACTCTTCTCTATACTAATCATTATGCCAATTACTATTCAACGATTACTATTTGAATAAGTATTATTAGTACGAGTATTATTTGAAGGTGTTACTACTACTAGTATCTTCATTTCCAAAGTCTCGTCTACAACGAGAATCTCGGAAGTGATAACGGGCGTTCATTGACCTAAAGAAATTTACAACGACTGAGCGTCTAACATCACAAAACTATGCCATATACATGGGATTTAGGTTATTTTAATTTATTTTTTGCAATAATATGCAAAATGTGGAGCGTACAACGGTTGAAACGTTGTAGATGAACAAAAGACTGACACCTGGCCAAAATATAGACGGAGGAAACCAGGTCAATGATCTTTCCGATGTGACCTCCATCTTCTGGATTTCTCCTTTTATATTTTGGCCAGGTGTCATTCTTTTGTTCAAATTTAAATTTAATTTAAATCAAAAAAAAAAAAAAAATTAATTGGCGGGGGGGGGGTTGTGCCTCCCCCACGTAGAACCCATTTTGATCAAAATGAAATATACTTATCCAAGTAACCTAGAAGTCATTCCCTTGTTCAAATTTAATTTAAATCAAAAGGAAAAAAAAAATCTGCAGGAGATTTGTGATACCCCCCAACCCACCGTGGATACCCTTTGATCAAAATGAAATAAACTTATGCAAGAACCCTGGGTAATATAGTTTCAGAATATATATATATATATATATATATATATATATATATATATATATATATTATTGGTTGGTGCAAAAATAATGACGAAATAATGTCGTTTTTTGACGTTACGTCAAAAAACGACATTATTACGTCATTATTTTTGCACCAACCTAATATATATATAACAAACGGACAGACAGGGGCTACAACTTGTGCATATGATTCAGTCATGTAAAATCAGAAGCTAACCCTATCTCAGGTGGTACTAAAGACCGTCCTATCAAAGTGAACACCCGGGCATGCAATTTAGGTACACCATTTACATTATTCGGATTATTGTCCTTATCTTTATCGGCATATTTACTACAACGTTTCAGCCGTTGTACGCTCCAGCCTTCTTCAGTGGATAAAGTCGTTAGTTAGATCCAGTGACAGGACCCAAAGAGTGTGAGTTCAATACCCGGATAAGGCAGTGGAGAACTTGGAGAGTGGAATTAACAGAGCGAGCACGTAGACTCAGTAAGAAGTCATACAGCGATACTTCAATACCAAAGATTGTATAGATATTTTGCTACTAACCCGTATTCCTGGAACTACTAACCTGCTTTACCAGTTTTCTACGTTAATAAATTATCTTCATATATTTATTCCTGGCGTTTGTTATTTATTGGTACCGGATATCAACCCGGAATCCACAACAGAATGTAAAATGGCGGAGATAGATTTTTTTTTGTTATTATTAAGGAAGAAATCGAATAAATATATATGAATAAAACAGGAAATATTTTAAAGATTCATATGTGAAAATCTAATAAGAGGAAAGCCAGAGAACACATCGACCGAAACGTGGTGATCGTAACAATAATGATGAAGACAACTGACCGAATATAAATAGTGTAAACAAAATTAAGATCTTAACATATTAGGCCGTCATTTTT